ACACACTTTATACCCGGCAAGAAGTCAAGTAAGGAGAAGTGCATGCATGCCTAAATATGAACATATTCCCAGGGACAATTTTGCCCATATTGGTCAAGCACCCCCAGACTAAAGGTCATACAACACCAGTCACATGACTGGGAGAGTATCTGTGTACACATTCTTATTCAAGAGAAGAAGAAAGTTATATGCTCCAGATTTCCTAGTGATGTCTTGGCAGTAAAAGTCAGACAATCTTTCATCTACTGGCGGAATCTGTCAGGGATTCTGGCTGCAATACCTGATGGTGATGAGTCAGATGATCTTTCTATTGGGGTCTGTGGGATTCCTACTCATATCTAGACAACTACCTACCATAACAGTATGCTGCTTCACTCCTTACCTCCTCACCAAATGAAGATTAAAAACAACACCAACCATAAAGTAGTCATAGGAATTCTGATCAAATAATGTATCTTCCACTAAAGACATTAATGATTGCTTAGCCTTTGTCATAGATGACAGAGTCATATAAAAGTTTAATTGTTACCCAATGCACTTGCTTAATTTCTCAGAGAGATGACTGAACACCTAATATTGGCATATAGGTTCCATCCCTCTATGCCGGGAGAGGAAGCCATTACCCAAGCCTTAGTTCTCCTTTCAGTCTTAGAAAACACTTCCTCTACAAACACTCTTTGCTAAAAAATCTTTTTTAATTTTGAGTATCACTTACTTTCTTCTTTCTTTCAGTAGTTATCTGGTTAAAATGCTAAGGAGCAGACAAGTTTTGGCAAAACAATAGGACAGAAATGACCGCTGAACTTGAACATTTAGCTCTTCTATGTGTAGTACGTTGTTACCAGACTCAAACCAAGTTCATTCACTCAGCTGTCACAAACAATTGGTAGACAGAAGCTGTGTAGGAATATAATTAATGGTAGTAAGTCCTAGGCACATGATCAGTTCTGTAATTGATGTAAGAGTGCCTTATCAGCTTGTGGGCTTTCTTGATTTGTGAGGTAATACACGTCCATTTGGGAAGGAAAATAGAAGTCTGTAAGCAGTTTTGAGGTTTTTAGGTGCCAAGCCAGGAGTGAATGTGCTCACAGCTAACAGTTTTTATCATGCAAATCATCCTAAAAATTTAAATGAAAACATTATTTGTCCTTGAAGTGGGAATTTTAGAAATCTTAAGGTCGTCATTCATAGTCAATGTTAGGTAATTACTATAACCAAAGTCTAAAGTTTCAACCCTTATTTTCAACCATTAAAATGTACGTGAATCTTGCATTTCAAGCTCCTGAAAAAGTATGTTTACTGGGGTCAGCAGGTGGCACAGTGGTTAAGGTACTGGGCTCCCATATTGTTGACTGTGGTTCAAATCATGGACCTGGCAGCTTAGACCTCACGCTGAGTATGTGTGCATGTGCTTGAGTGTCTCAAATCTTGAGAGGAGGATGAAGGAGAAGGGATTGCAGAGTGATCATCCTCCCTGCAGGTGACTTTTCACTTTCTCTCTCTCTATCTCTCCCTTTCTCTGTCTCTCTGGTGAGTACTCACACCCTATGGCAAAAATATTTAAAAAAATAAGAAAGTGACTACTTTTAGTTCAGCCATTTCTGATTTTCAGCTGGGGAATTTCTATTTTTGCCTCAAGAGAAGAAAAGAGAAACTGATGGTCGATTCCTTGTTAGAGGGCCACTGTTTGGTTTGAATTTGAACATAGGTCTACTGATGTTCCAGGAAGGGATTACAGATTGAAGTTGGCTTTATTAAGACTATGGAGAAGAGTGGGACCAGCAGTTAGCGTAATGGCTATGTCTCTGGACACCCATGTAGTTGACTGCGATTCGCGTCCCGGACCCGGTGGCTTAAAACTCACGATGGGCACGTGTGCGTGCGTGCCCAAGATCCCGAGAGGAGAATGGAGGAGAAGGGATTGCAGCAAGGCTATCCCCCCTGGGGGGTGATTTCTCACTTTCTATTTCTCCGTCTCTCTCTGTCTGGTGAGTGCATGTGCCCTCTAGCAAAAACCTCTAAAAGAAAAAAAAAAGAAGACGACTATGGAGAAGAGTGAGGGAAGTTCAATCCTCAGTTCTAAGAATCCTGCTCCTCCTGCTCTCTATTTGCAGGAAATTCCTGTTCACTTTAGCTCCCTTTGCACCTGGGCAACAAAGTACAAAGTGCTCCGCTTTGGAAGAGTTAATTCCAGAGAGATAGTAGAAGCAAGCGGATGAGAGCCCTGTATTAGGACAGAAAGAAACATCCTTTAGGGAAAGGTCTGAATCTGACATCTCAAGCACTACCCAAATATGGATGGGATCAGGGTACAAAAGAACTTATGTTGTACCTAAAGGAATGGGGACAACACAGGCATCCTGGTGTTGACAGACTGTCTTCAAAACCCTCATATAGACAGAAAAGCAACACGAGATGTTGCTCAATCAACAAAGTTAGCCAATTTGTAGGCAAGACCTTTCAGAAAACTTAAATGGGTAAGATGCAAACTGCTCTCTCAAAGACCTTGCAGGTTAGTGAGGATGAGGAGAGAGGGAGAAGGAAGAAAACAGATCATCAGAATGCAGTATCTCAAATGCAAAGTGAATTGGGGAGTCCCAAATCTGAGAGAGCTTGTCAGTAATGTTTATGGATCCCAAAAAATACACCTAGAGGCCCAGCAAGGGAAGACATGAGTTTATCATTTACATAAAGAGGATAGGATGCTCCAGTGACAGCCAAGTGGAAGAATGATCTGTGCCATCATAAGTCCAGGCCCATGTTACATATGTTAGGGTCAGAGAGTACATACCTCATCTCTAAGATCTGAACAGACTGTCTCCAAGACAGGGTTCTGGTTTTTACATACACTGTTGAAGATTACGGTAACAAGCCAGGTTATCAATTAGTGGAGTCACCAGAGTTTGTATATTTATTTAGTGCTTCTGATCTTGGGTTGTTAACATGAGAGAGAAGCACATATCTCTGGAACAACCCAGGCCACAAGTCAATTCCATGACATAAGAGAACAGTCAAGAGATGCTCATGAGGCCCAGCCAGATCAGTAGGAAAGAGAGAGGGTGTAAAGAGTCAATATATGGGGTCTACTTGTTCAAGGAGAGAGGTAGACAAAGGCACCAGGACACCTGATTTACCGAAGCCATGAAGTGAAAGCACTTAGAACAGTATTTGACACACATTTGTCATGCAAATGCCCATTGAATGAATACTACAGAAATTAAAAAAAAAAAACACAAGCTTTATCTATAAGTTGAATAAATATCTAAAGAACTATGGACAGTCAGACAGACATGAAGGGTAGTGGGTGGGTTATATGACAATGAGACACTGCCCTTGTGACGCTGTGTGGCTTTGGCCAATTTGTTGATCTCTCTGACATGAATCTCTCCGTCTTTAACAAAGGGATAATAATACCTATTCTATAGCAATCTAGGGCATAATTGATTTTTTAAAAAACATTATTTATTTTATTTAATTCCATTTGTTATTATTATTTCTTTTTAATTTGACCAGAGAAAGAAAGAGAAAGATGGACAAAATAAGGAAGCAAACCACCAGGTCTGGAACTCAAACTGTGGTTGGCCATGTGGTAATCCAACACCCTTAACCACCACACCACCTGCCCAGAATCGATTTTTAAATATATATTATTGGATTGTCAGAAAAATCATGACATATTTTTTCATTTTCGTACAATAGTATCATGGGTCATACATATCGAGTGTTTAATAGATAGCAAATGTTAATTTACTGCGATTTCATATATAGAGAGCATGTAGTCAGGTTCCACAGGTCATTGCTGGGAATGTCTGTCACGGGGGAAATGACTGCTAGGCCAGGAGGTTCCTTGAGTAGGGCCACTGTGAGCAGACAGGTGCAGGGGAAGGTCAGACAGAGAAGAGGACCAATTCTAGTCACTGATTCTAGCCTTCATTTTCTTTTCTCATAGGTGACTATAAGATAGCATGAGTCCTTGCAGGGCTAACTCAGACTGAAACCTGGAAGAAACAACCAAGGCCAAACTGGACTAAAGAAAGTGGGAGGGATGGAAAGTGCTGCCTAGGAATGAGGAAGAGGGGAATAAATAGTGGAAATGGAATTAATGGAGAGTAAAGCAAGGAGGTTTGCTAAAGGGTCATCCTAGAGATAAAGCTCTAGGCATTCCCACTGGTGGCTTTTTTTTTTTCTTTTAAGTTTTCCAGAGGGTATGCATTTACCAGAGAGAGAGAAACAGACAGAGAGAGATGTAGAGGGAAAAGCACCCCCATGGGGCATGGACATGCCACAATCCCCTTTTCTCTATCTCTCCATCCTGCTGGAATTTTGGGCGTACACACACAAGTGCCTGCAGTGTTTTCTAGCTGCTGGGGCTGGGATTGGAACTTTGAGATCAGCCATGGGATCTAGCTCCCTTCACCTCTAGGTCATGAGGCACCCTTGTGAAGTGAGGTTATCTGCTATACATGTCGTAGCAACTGCTCAGCAGCCTCTCTTCCCCAGGGTCAAACATTTTTCTAGCTGCAATTTTTGCTCAGGGAAATTGCAGGACTGAATTAGACCCAGTCAGAGTTATGGGGCACAGCGGTTAGTGGTGGCCCTAAGAACAAAAGAGAAGAAGGAGAAGAATGGAAAATGAGTGCCTGCTTCCCATTTAATGTGACTCCTGCCCAGAACACATCTGAGCAGGTTACATTTGTTTGCTTGTTTGCAGAAAGAATTTGGTGAGAAAATCTCAGTGGGAAGATAAATGCCTGTCCACAGCTATACAGAATTTCCCAGGGAGAAGACTCGTACAAAAGCCTTTATTTCACAAAGAAAGAAAGGAATATTTTATGTGCATTGTCAGATAATTAGTGAGACATTTCTAATCTCTCCTGAGAGAAAATTCCAGATAGGGGTCTGCCCTGTGAGCGTTTTCATGCCACTTTCAGATGGGAGTATATCATGCCCTTTTCCTGCAGGCCTGTGCTGATTTGCCACTTTGTTCTCTCTTCCTGCAGATGGACCAGCAACTCCGGCTCAGTTATAATTTCTCCCCAGAAGTCGAGTTCAGGACTATAAGGTCGCTAACCCTGGGCAAAGTCACAGGTCTGTTGTTTTGGTCTATACCTTTCCAGTGGTCTTTGTCAAAATAATTAAATCAAGAGAGAAAATCTATTGGGTTGTTTAGGTTTTCAGAGCTAGAGCCTTTTGGTTCCATAATAAACAAGATCTATAACCAAGTTTTCTTTTAAATAATTATATTATTTATTTATTCATTCATTTATTATGATCATTATTTTATTATTATTTTACATGAGTTTTGGAGAGAATGACAGAGAGAGAGGGAGAGTGAGAAAGCAAGTCACCAGGTCCGGGGCTCAAACAGTGGTCAGCCTGGGAATTTCAGCACCTTAACCACCATGCCCTAGAACCAAGATTTCTGATACAGAAAAATCTAAGACATGTAAGTAGGAGATATGAGGACCAACATTTATGTCTACTTCATAAAAGCTTATGAGAGGTAAATTAGCTAAGTAATTAATTCAGATGTACAAGTTTTTCTTAAATTTATTTAAGAATAATTTTACTTTTTTTTTACTTAAATTTACTTAATTTTTACTTAAATTAACAATTGAAAAAGGAATGAAACCTATAATAGTGGATTTCTTTTATACTTGAAGTTCTATGAATTTTCAGTTTATACAGTATTTATTAGGTGCTCGTAAGATTCAAATTTTTACACCATGGTGGACTGAGCAGTTTATCATGAGTAAGTGATCTTTTTTAAGTTTAATAAAGTCTTTTGTGCTTCAATCTACTTTGTCTATTATTAATATAGCTATTACTGTTTTGTCTTGTTTAGTATTTCCCTGATCTATTTTTTCTCACGCTTTCATTTCGGTCTTTCCTTTGTTTTAAGCCTTGTATATAATCTTGTGAAGAACACACAGTTCAATTTTTATTTATTTATTTATTTATTTATTTTGGAGAGTATTTTTCTGTAGGGCATGTGCACTCACCAGGAAGACATAGGGAGACAGAGAGACAGAAAGCAAGAAATCAACCCCCAGGGAGTATGGCCATGCTGCAGTCCCTTCTTCATTCTCCTCTCAGGATCTTGGGCATGCACACACACGCACCCAGTGTGAGTTTAAGCCACTGGGTCTGGGACTCGAACTGCAGTTGACTACATGGGAGTCCAGCGACATAGCCATTACACTCAGTGCTGGTCCCTCAATTTTTATTTTTATATCCAATCTGGCCTTCTTTCTTTCTTTCTTTTTTTTTTTTTGAGAGAGGTTTTTGCTATAGGGCATGTATGCTCACCAGACAGACAGAGAGACAGAGAGACAGAAAGCCAGAAATCACCCCCAGGGGGGATGGCCACACCGTAATCCCTTCTCCTCCATTCTCCTCTCAGGATCTTGGGCATGCACGCACACGCACCTGGCATGAGTTTAAGCCACTGGTTCTGGGACTCGAACCACGGTCGACTACGTGGGAGTCCAGTGACAGAGCCATTACGCTAACTGCTGGTCCCAAACCTTCTCTATTTTTCAAGTTGTCAAATGTGGTTCCTTTCTATTTTGAGTTACTCATGCAATTATACTTGTTTCTGCCTTCATATTTGCCCATTTTCTATGATTCTAGTGTATTATTTCTTTTATTTTAGGTTTTTGCTACAGGGTACCTGTGCTCACTAGAGAGAGACAGAGAGAGGCAGAGAGAGGGAAATTGAGAAATCACCCACTGGGATGATGGCCACACTGCAATCCCTTCTCCATTCTCCTTCTGGGATCTTGGACAAGCTCCCACATGTGCCAAGCATGATTTTCAAGTCACAGGGTCTGGGACTCAAACCACGGTCAGCTGTATGAAAGTCCAGCACCTTAACTACCATGCCACCTTTTGACTCCATCTATCACCTTCTTTCTTAATCTGTCATCATGTCATAGTGTAGAAAACACTAATAACTCTATTTTGTACAAATACATTTAACATACAGCCTTAGTTGTTTACAAAATTGTTGCAACATTCATGGTGTGGATGATCATTAAGTTCTTTTGGAGTGACTCCCTAAGCAGTTAGCTTATTAATGAGGAGCTATTGCCCACTATACCAGACTAGCACCTAGAAGCCACCGTGGCCCCCACGGTAAGTGTCCATTCATAAAAGCAGGAGACGGTTTCCAAGGAACAACCACAGAGTGTGCCTCATGGTACTGTGGCTTTGTTTGCCAGCAGGAAGAGCTGAAAAGCAGGACAGTAACTCTTATTTCACTGGACCTTTCAAGATTCATAAAGAGTATATAATTTCCAGAACATAATCCAGAAGCCTAGGTGCAGAAGGATCTGAAAAACATCAATTTTAATTTCCCAAATGTCTGTTTAATGTATTAATCAATAATAACTGACTTCCAGACTGAATTTTGCTAAATTTTGATTCTACCCACCCTCTTAATAATAATTATTGTTTTCTATATATATTACTTACATTCAATTATTCATATAACTACTATTCTTTTCTTATCTTTATTCTTTTCTTTATCTTGTGCTTTTCTACTTTCTGCCACATTTCATTTCCTTTTATTAAATTGAAGCTGTTCAAATATTTTTTTTTCTTTTCTTTCTGTTTTTTATTTTTTTGGTAAGGTTGTAAATGCTTTACCTAAACAAAGTATCTTTATTTCACTTGTATTCTTAAATGATAATTTTGTGGACCAGCAGATGGCATAGCAGTTCTGTTGCTGGATTCCCACATATCTGGTTGCAGTTTGAGTCCCAGCGACTTGAAACTCACGCCAGGTGTGTGTACGTGTATGCCCAAGATCTTAGGAGGAAAATGGAGGAGAAGGGATTGTGGCATGGCCATACCCCCTGGGGGATGATTTCTTATTTTCTCTCTCACCGTCTTTGTCTCTCTCTCTCTCTCCCCAGTGAGTGCATGTGCCCTAAAGCGAAAACTTAAAAAAAAAAAAAAAGTTAGGACCAGCAGATGGTGAAATGATTACATCTCTGGACTCCCACATAGTCAACTGAGGTCAAGTTCCGGACATGGCAGCTTAAACTCACACGGGGGTGCATGTGCGTGAATGCCCAAAATCCCAAGAGGCATTGTGGTCATCCCCCTTGGGGGAATGATTTCTCACTTTCTGTCTCTCTATCTCTATTTCTCCAGTGAGTGAATGTGTCCTATAGCAAAAATTTCTCTCTAAAGAAAATATGCTAGATATACGATTCACTATTGAAAGATAACTGTCTTTCAGATGTTGAGAAATTATTCAGTGTTATGATGGATCCAATTTCACCGACTCGTAAGAGCAAATGATACAAATTTCTCTCCAACTCTGCATTCAGTGACATCCAGACAGTAGCTTGAAACCTGTCACATCAAGAATGTTTACATCATGGATATGTGAATTGCCATCCCACTGAGCAGCCAGTTCAAATATAACCAACAAATCATCATACTCTTGCCTTCTGGTTTTTGGTGGTTTGTAGAATTGTATTATCTATCATCTGTCCTTTTTATAAAAGTGCTCTGATCACCTCCACCCCTACTCATAAGAATCCACAGGATACTTTTTTTCTGATCACCTCCACCCCTACTCATAAGATCCCACAAGATACTTTTATTTTAAAGAGGCATTTGTCTTAGGGTGTGTATGCTCACCAGAGAAAGAGACAGTGAGAAGGAAAGTGAGAAATCACTCCATGGGGGGAGGACCATGCTGCAACCCCTTCTCCTCCATTCTCTTCCTGAGATCTTGGTCACACACACTCACATACCTGGCATGAGTTTCAAGCCACCGGGCCTGGTATTTGAACCATGGTCAGCCATGTGGGAGTCCAGGGATGTAGTCGCTATGCCATTGCTGGCCCTGCCACAAGATACTTTTAAAGTCAGCTCTTTTTCTGTGCCTTTGTGCAGTTCTATTTTCATGTCTGCTTTTAGATTTCTTTTCAAAATACCTTACTTACTACTTTTATGTTTCCTGTATGTATTTATTGGTTTGTACGTTTCTGTGTATTTATAATTCATACGTGTTGTTCCATTTGTACCTATTTGTTAGATAAAGATTATCAGCATAGGGACCAGCAGTTGGCGTGATGGCTATGTCGCTGGACTCCCATGTAGTTGACCATGGTTCGAGTTCTGGACCTGGTGGCTTAAACTCACACCAGGCATGTGTGCGTGCATGCTCAAGATCTCAAGAGGAAGGAGAATAGACGAGAAGGGATTGAGGTGTGACTGTGTGTACCTATTTGTTAGATAAAGATTATCAGCATAGGGACCAGCAGTTGGCGTGATGGCTATGTCGCTGGACTCCCATGTAGTTGACCATGGTTCGAGTTCTGGACCTGGTGGCTTAAACTCACACCAGGCATGTGTGCGTGCATGCTCAAGATCTCAAGAGGAAGGAGAATAGACGAGAAGGGATTGAGGTGTGACTGTGTCCCATGGGGCGTGCATGCCCAAGATCCCGAGAGGAAGGAAAATGGACAAGAAGGGATTGAGGTGTGACTGTGTCCCATGGGGGACAATTTCTCGCTTTCCATCTTTCTGGTGATCACACACGCCCTATAGCAAAAACCTCTCCTCTGCAGAGAAAAAATAAAAAGTTCTCAGAATATCAAAACTTCCATCTTCCTTATTCTCTCTGCTTAATTCTTTGAGAACTGAATGAGATAAATCTTAATCATTTTAATTCTGTCCTTATATTGATTACGTTCATTTTATAACAATTTTTTCTCTACTACATCTTGTAGTCTGAGCAATATATTTGGTTTCATCTTCAAATTCACTGATTATCTACTTATACCTAATCTCATTTAGCCCATTTCATGAGTCATTTTTTTATTAAGTTTTTAACATTTTTTTTTTTGAGAGAGATTTTTGTGATAGGGTATGTGCTCTTGCCAGAGAGACAGAGGGATAAAAATGAGAAATCACCCCCCCAGGAAGGACAGCAATCTGCAGTTCCTTCTCCTCCATTCTCTTTGGATCTTAGGCATGTGCACACACACGTCTGGTATAAGTTTAATCCAGCAGGCCCAGGACTCGAACCGCAGTCCACTATGTTATGCCATCTCCTGTTCCCAAGG